TTTTTTTGCCTTGACAAATGCTTTAACATGGCCATCTGTCTGGGCTGTGACGTATGTATGCATCTCTAACCTGTCTATAAACTTGTTTATGCTTTGTTAATGTATTGTGCGATCTGAGATAAACTCCACCTTTAGGAATACATATCAAGCTGTTAAAGACTCTTCTTATGGCCACATATGCTGAGGAATAATGCAGTGGAGGTATCGGAGTGTTCTTTTAACAGACACAGGTCAGTTTACATCAGATTACCCCCGATTCGCCACAATCAGGTCCAGTGAAACGGAACACTGTTAAGTTTGTTTTGCCAGACCCGGCCAGAGTTGGGGCAACCAGGTGTAAATGGACAGCAGCCTGTTTACACACGGCTGCCCATAGACTAGCACTGGACATCCGATCGGGACCGCCTGAAAAACTGCCCCATGTGAAAGGGGCCTTACGCTATGCATAATGTTTTGTTGTAAGGTACCAAGATAGCAAATATCTAATAACATTCCTCATTATATACATACAGTAGGGTTTTTCGGTATTGAGTACGAGAACCAATATTCTAGCGAAAGAACACCGACTTCAGAGGCTGCCTGGCTTCCTGACCAATCAGGAAGCTGGGCAGAGAGTTATGAGGTGCCGTCTGGCTTCCTGATTGGCCAGGAAGCCAGGCTGCCTAGCAACAAGTGAAACCAGCTTCCAAGCCAATCAGGAAGCCTGGAGGCGGGTCATAACCCACCACCCGGTTTCCTGATTGGCTAGGAAGCCGCCTTTACTTGTTTCTAGGCTGCCTGGCTTCCTGACCAATCAGGAAGCCGGGCAGAGAGTCATGTGGTGCCGTCCGGCTTCCGTATTGTTTAGGAAGCCAGGCTGCCTAGCAACACGTGAAGTTGGCTTCCTAGCCAATCAGGAAGCCGGGAGGCGGGTCATAACCCACCACCCGGCTTCCTCATTGGAAAGGAAGCCGACTCCATGCTTTCTCGGCACTGTTGGTCAGAGGGAGATCTACCTCTGACCGGAAGTTCCGGTATCAGAGGTAAGTATCAGAGCATTTGGGCGAGTATGAGTGCTTGCCCAAATACTCGGTATAGGCACCGATACCAATACTGGTATTGGTATCGGTGCATCCCTAACATACAGCAATCAAGTGACCTTTCAAACAGCATTTAACTGTTGGTTGGACAATCCAGAATTGACGTGGTAAATAATTATGTGTTTGTGCAGACATCTGTCATGTTTGTAAAAGACATCTTATCTTCACTTCCTGTATGTTGATCAGCACATTGTGTGCCAACCAAGCCGCCATATTCTACACCAGCATGAAGACATACAAATATCTTAGATGGGAATCTCAATGCATTAAATGCAAGGAGAATATCAGTGTTGTAATAAGAGCAGAGAGAGTAAGTCTGCCAGGCTGGAACCATGCTATTCAAACAACACTTACCACAACACTAACAAACGTTATTGTAAAGTATTTATGTGCTCTGACTTTGTTTGCCCTGCGGCCTCTGCATGCTTTGACTATTTAAACCATAGTAGAGCAGAAACGTCGTGGACGAGACAACTGCCAAAAGGTGAGATTTTACTCTTTTGTGAATAGACCTGTAAGTCTTAATTCAGGCTTTTGTATTTGGTACCTGATTGAGAGATTTTTGTAAATATGGAGTCCCCATGCGGTCAGCGAATTGTCGATAAGAAGGGTGCGACAAGAAAAACTTCCTCTCAGCTGCCAATGCTGCTTGGATATCTTTCTTACCATCGATGTCCTTCTGGCTTCTGTTTACAACTCCAATATAACCTGTAGAAGATTAGGTCAGAGATGATGGCAAGTCTAGCCATAATAAATAACCTTTTCCAATTGTTGGAGAAGATAAAAGAAATACTTTACCATAAAGACCAAAGCTCCATCCCTACTACCACCTCCATGACATATGAAATTTGGTTTTATGCTGAGTAACAGAATTGCCTGTGCTGCTTTGTCCAAACATGTAAAAGGTCAGTTGACACCAATAATTACAGTATAATGCACTGCTCAATTATTAAAAAGGCGATTAAAGGTTATATATACTATTTTCCAGAATGAACTTCTACACTTGGGAGTTTTCCCCTTTTTATATTTATTCATTTATAATATTTATTTATTTATTTCATTTACAAGTAATACGTTAATGACTATAAAACAGCACATTTCACATTAGTCAACTCTTTGTATGCACTGATTAGTAATTTAAAGCCGTTTTATTCACTATTATAGTTATAAGATGTAAATATCATCACAAATTACGAGAATGATTATAAATTGTTATTTTAATTATTATTATTTGTAATTTACAATATTTATAACTAGTATAACTGGGTAGAATAGCCCTTATTATAAACTAAGTTATAGATATTATGTATAAAATAAGGGCTATGTGGAAATAGCATATTATTTTTTTGTTTGAATATGTATTTGTGGTGTTATATGTTATAAATGGTGATTATTGTTTGGAAAATTAATAAATATATATTAAACAAACAAAAAAAAAAGGCACTGAGGGGGTCCAGTAAGGGAGGTCACTTCCTTGGGGTCTCAGAGTTTTAAAAGGTAGATTTGAACCATAGGTAGCCCTCTAAATACCCGGCCAATGAAAAGTGTCTGAGTTGGGTGGAAAATCTTGGCCAAACAGTGACTGCATTGTATCAGATGCCATTAACCTATTACTGCTGGAGACGACACCATGCGGCAACCATATTATTTCATATAATTTGTCTGTGCTCTAAAATGATCCCTTTCCGGAAAAGGGTGGCCTCCATCTGTGAGCAAACTCTGAGGTATTCTTTTTCTATACCTAAGGCTGTGGCCCATAATTTTCTCTTGGGCCCACCCATCTCTGGCCTTGACCTTTCAAGGAGGATGCTGGTCATTCATATTTTGGAAGGTGGAAGTGGGCTCCTTTACTAGAGGATTTACTGAATTATACTAAAAGGTATGCCGGTTGGAGGACTCAACAGCAAGAACTAGAGCAGTCCATTTCCTATGGGATACACCTCCTTTTGGGTCACAGAGCTGGCTCCTTCCAGCCTTTCTGTATTATTTACTCCATCACGTAATAGTAGATCAGGGAACAACATGTTTGTTTTAATTGTAACTTTTAATATATTCTAGGATTGGCAACTTGTTGACTTCTGGGCTTTGTGTGAAGATATACTGTATGAAGGTTTTATCCTCTAGATTGTTTCATATTATAAAACCTCAAAAAAATACAGTTAAAATCAATAACAAATCAATAAATAAATGTTAACTTCTCTTTACTGCTCAAAGATTTGTAAATCTTTTCAGTCAGTCCTGAGTTCTATGCACCCTTGACATACCGCATAGCTAGGTCTGTGACGTCACTTTCCCACTGCAGTCAAGCAATACAACTTGGTCACATACCCAACCCCAGGTCGTTAACTGGATGTGGAGGAGCATCCCCACAGTTATGAGAGCATTAATCTACTTATTGCCTCTATCAGCAAACTCACAGTTTTTGACTAACGGCCTTGTAAAATACAAAAATACAGGCTCAGTCCTGTTGTGAGGGAGATAACAGTAAGCTTACATAAAGGCAGATTTTGGTAATTAAACTGTAGTTCAATATTTTACTTAATAATAAATGGTGATTGTTTACATCTTTCTATAGTTTAGCGTTAAGAGTTTTAGAAATATTTACCCTCTAATTGAACACATATAATTTTGCATATAATAATTATAGAGGAATTGCTTTGGGTGTAGAAGTAATACACTTGCGTGATGGAAAATTTGTCCTCACCTCTCCGCAAGGGTAAAAGCTTATTTTCCAAGACATCTCTGGCATCTGTCCCTTCATCCATCAGGTCAAGTTTGGTTATGACACCAATTGTGCGTAGTCCTGCATAAAAGATACAATAAAGGAGTTATCTTGTTATACCTTTATTTATTAAGAATATATTTCACAAAGCTACACATATAACACAATGCATCTCATGCATCAGACCCTTCGGTCTCTCCATCAATCTTTCCAAAAACGACTCCAACTTTGCTACACTCCATCTGCTGAGAAAAAACTAAGGGTTACCATAGTTAATTGCCTAAACAAGACAAGTTTTAAAAAAAACAAATGTCTAACATGTTCGACCTCTCGAAACCTGCAACTCTGGTTGAAAGTAAGGCAACTGTGCAACTGTTACCAATTCTGTCTTATGGGAGAAAAAAACATTCTTTCATGATCCCCCAAGATCGGTTGACTTGATTGCCTCAATCAACATCTTTTACTTTGTTACAATTTATATTTTGTTGTCTAATAAAATGAGGGACAACTCAAAGGAATGTTACCTGTCCTATGGTATCTTATGGTTTGTTGTCCCTACCTTAGTGTTACAAACTATTTTAGGCAGAAGCAATATAACCTAGTAGGATGTTTTCAGTTGTGTAAGGAAATTATATCACCCACACAAAACCCATACAAAGTCTACATGGAGACTGCTCAATCACAAAGTAGGATCACGATGCCACAAGGTAACCATGCTAATCAATGTTCTAATGCGCTGCTATATAACCGTTCTGTGCTCATATTGCACGTGAAGTAAGACCTCCTAGAACTTTACTTATGTTCACCTTGGCTACCACCAACTTTGCTCAGTTAGTCTTGCTCAGGAGGCAGGAAGCAGACAGAGGCAGTACGTGGATTCTTGCTGCTTTCTGCTGTCTGAAAGGCTAGAGGTCTTCCCAGGGCTTTCCATGAAAACACACTCATTGCCTTATGAAAGAATGTTTATCGTTTTGTACATATTTTTTATTTAAGTTAAAAAAATAAACATTTTAGGAATATTTTAACCTTTTTTTCTATTTCATATTTACCACATGTAACCTTGTAACCTGCGTGCATTGCAAATGAGTCAAATGTCGATTACCACTTGGCTGTAAACAATCTACAATTTGATATGCTTTTTAGAATAATAGGTAAGAGAAGGAACACTCTACCAATTCCCCTCCAATTCATATGGCTCTGTATGAAGTTTAATTTAAAAGTAAGCAGCCACTACCACTGCTAGGACTTCTTAATAGAAAGTCCAGCAAGCTCTGCAAAGACAGTACCCTGACGGCGCCCACATTAAATGTTTACTAGCACAAGTGAGTGAGGAAACTTTTAAGATAAAATTCCTGCAAGTTTTATGCTTGTAAAATAAACATTCTATACAATTAATAGAAAATAATATAACGAACCAATGTATAAATCCATATTAAAAAAACATTTTAAAATTAAACCAATAAAACATTTTGGATTCCTTTTAGAGGAGAGTATTAGTGATTGGAAAGGGGTGTAACATACACCTCAATAGGACTGAATTCTGAAGGATTGGAATGTTAATAAGAGTAAATACATATCTACAATGCATTACAAACAACTTGCACTATCCTAAGCCAATGTTAATAAATACAGTATACTTCAGATCTGAAACAATTCCAACCAATTAATCACTAAATAAACCATGTGTAAAATAAGACATGCATCATAAATATATGCAAAGCCAGTACACGTTTCAAATGAAAACAGGCAAACATGAAGTCATTTCTGGGCTGGTTTCTAAGCATACCGTGAGGATCCACTTCTTTGGCAATTTTCAAGGCATCAGAGTTTGCCAGATCTGAATTAGCTGGAGACACAGCTAGAATGAGGCAATTCTCCTTAGTGACAAATTGCATCAACATGTCACGGATCTGAAACTCAATGTCCACAGGCTGGTCACCAACTGGAACTTTGGTCATACCCGGAAGATCAACCAGAGTCAGGTTAAGCACTGAAAACAAAGCATAAATGAGCTAAAATTATTATACAAATTATGAAATAGGCTTTCATTTAAACATGCTGGTGCTAGTCATTTTGCGGTTTGTACCCCCAACATGCTTGAAAACCGATGCTTCTTTCTTTATCAGGCAGTAATAGGGCAACTCAGTACTTGGTTTGGGCCCCTTTTGCAGCACTTACTGCAATTACTTTTGCACGATATTCTAATTATTCGAGTTTCACCTGTACATATACACACAGTTGTGTGAAAGGGTGTTGGCCACCTTCCTGATCTCTCATTGTTTTGCATATACACACAGCTGTGTGAAAAAGTGTTTGCCCCCTAAACCTAATAACTGGTTGGTCCACCCTTAGCAGCAAGAACTGCAATCAAGCGTTTGCGATAACTTGCAATGAGTCTGTTACAGCGCTGTACAGAAATTTTGGTCCACTCATCTTTGCAGAATTGTTGTAATTCAGCCACATTGGAAGGTTTTCGAGCATGAACCGCCTTTTTAAGGTCATGCCACAGCATCTCAATAGGATTCAGGTCAGAACTTTGACAGGGCCACTCCAAAGTCTTCATTTTGTTTTTCTTCAGCCATTCAGAGGTGGACATGCTGGTGTGTTTTGGATTATTGCCCTGCTGCAGAACCCACGTTCACTTCAGCTTGAGGTCACAAACAGATGGCCGCACATTATCCTTCAGGATTTTTTGGTAGACAGCAGAATTCATGGTTCCATTTATCACAGCAAGTCTTCCATGTCCTGAAGCAGCAAAACAGCCCCAGACCCAGGCCCGGATTCCCCACAAGGCCACCGAGGCCCGGCCTCGGGGCGGCAGGGCGCAGAGGGGCGGCAGCGTTGTCCTTGTGGGGAAGTTGCCCTCTCTACATTCAGTCCTGCTTTGCACAAGCAGGACTAAATGTGGAGTGAGGCAGACGATTTTTCGTTTACATGTGATATTGGCGATGTCGCCGATTTCACATATAAACAGTGTGCAGCCTTCTCCCCCCTGCACTTACCTCTCTCCTTTGGTTCCGTCCTCCGCCGCCGAGTAGTAGCACTAAAGTTAGGTGGAAAAAAAATGAAATTTATAAAAAAATTAAATAAATTAAAAAAATGAAATAATTTAAAAAAAGGTAATTAAAAAGTAAAAAAAGAAACAAATTAAAAAATAAGAAAATACTTTATCAGATGTCATATCGTGACAATATGACGATATGATACGCTCTTACGCCTCGCTGAGGCAGATCGTTCTTTGCAGCACTTTATTGTGAGCCAGGCACAATGTAAAGAAGCACCCCAAAGGTGTGTACCCATGTCGTCCTGAGTTCAGACACGGTGGGTTGAATTACCCTGGGCATTATTCAACCCAAGAAAGAATGGCACTGGACCATGGTGAGTTTACCACAAACATCTCTGGTGAGATGAGTATTGTAGGCACATGCTGGGTGGAATCCCACACAAACAAAGGGTGAGAATGAAACCTAGGAACGCATCAGTATAATGTAAAGAAGCTAACCAGATAGTCAAGGGTAACAGGACAGAATTACAGTTACTGATTCACCTGTTTTAATAAAATATGCCAGATCCCACAGGCTGGTTGACCTACCATTTGGAGAATAGACACGAAGGTTTATTGGCACAGGAGAAATGCCCTTGTTTGTTCCAGTGATCCGATCAGTTTCAGCCTCGATTTCCAGTCTGATCTCTTCAAAATCTGTAAACTTCTTTCCCTTGCAGTGCAGAAACTCCCCATGTTCTACAAAATATTAAGATGACATCAAATGAAAGCCTCACATATACGTCACCATAATGATAACATTCAGTAGAACACTACACAGAGAAGTTATTTATGAAATGCCTTGCATTGTAAAAGAAGATGCATCCCCTATTTCAGAGGTGCCCATTAGGTAGAACTTGATCTGCCAGTAGCTCTCAAAGCTGATGCTGGTAGATCACGAAAAGTGTGAATGGTGGCCCCTTTTGGTATATTTATTTAGCTGTGCACACATGATTACCCATTAGCCTTGACTCTGCTGAGCCAAGCTCCCTGACACCTTTCTGTTGGATACTAGTGGTTGAAGTGCTATGTATTACATCAAAGAATATTAGTATACACAGCCTGTTGCACTGCACTGCTTGCAAAATACAGCAAGGTGAGCCTGGAGACAGCGCTGGGAGAGACAGCCAGGAAAGAGAGCGCGAGGAGAGACAGCCAGGGGAGAGAGCAAGGAGAGACAGCCAAGAGAGCGAAGAGAGACAGCCAGGAGAGAAAACGAGTAATGACAGCCAGGAGAGAGAGAGAGCGAGGAAAGACAGCCAGGAGAGAGAGAGAGCGAGACAGCCAGGAGGATGAGCAAGGAGAGACAGCCAGAAAAGAGAGCAAGGAGAGACAGCCAGGAAAGAGAGCAAGGAGAGAGAGAGCAAGGGAGTTTTTTTTTTGTTGGTAGATCTCATGTAGCTCCTCAAAGTAGATCTTAAAACAAAAATTGTGGGCACCCCTGCCCTATTTACTAAGGGAGTACTAGTATTCAAGAAGTTAATGCAATATGTAGGCATAAATTTTAATATTTTGCGGGGTAAGCATTGCACCCTTCACATTAAAGGAGAACTATGGGGTTAAGGCTTTTCCCCATAGTTCACCTTAGCTCAGTATAACGCGAGCTGTAGCTCGCTGTATACTGAGACGCCGCAGTATGCCGCGAGCTAAATAAACTCCCATGCATGCATGGGAGTTAAGTGTAGGAGCGTCAGTTGTCCCCGCACTTCCTCCTGTTCACGAGTTGCAGGTACCTGTGTGTGTGTCCATCCCACTGGAGACCCCGCACAGCCCTGGTGAGACTCTACACAGTCCTGTTGAGGCCCCATGCACCTCTAGTGTGACTCTGCATAGCCTCCTGAGACCCCATACAGCCCCCCTGAGGCCCCACACAGCCCTGGTCAGTCCTGGTCAGACTCTGCACTCTTAATCCCACTAACAACAAATACACCTATAAATAAATAAAAGACATTGAGGGAAATTATCAAAACTGGAGCAGACAAAATCTGGAGCAGCTGTGCATGGCAGCCAATCAGATTCTCTCTTTCATTTTCAAACCTTAACTGAACAAACTGAAGAAGGAAGCTGATTGGTTGCAATGGGCAACTGCTCCAGATTTTGTCTGCTCCAGTTTTGATAAATTCCCCCCATTAATTCTACAGCACAGCGAGAGCAGAATCATGAAATAGTCAGGTACTCTAACCTCAGGAAAATTGCAATATAGAGATCTGAAGTGACTGAATCCAGCAAGAACTACAAAATTCAGCTGGACATTGCGTGAAAGGAAAAAAGTAATGGAAATGTATGTACATTAGATTCAGCTGGGTAAAATTATTATTATTCAAGATTTAGGCTAGGTTCACTCCTGCACTACACCGCACGACACCCGGGATGCACGTCCCGGGATCGTGCGGTCCTGTACAATGCAGGCAGCGAATTCGCTGCCCCATTGATTTCAAGGGGGTGACATCCACGCGGCAATCGCAGAAAAAAGGTACAAGTACCTTTTTTTGTGATACGCGGCTGTTTTATCGTGTTCGGAAGCAACACGACTGGTGTGCCATTAGAAAATAATGGCACCCAAAGCGCGATCGGTTGACACCTTGGCGACTCCTGACGCACGATTGCCGCACGGTAAGGTGTCGCCAAGGTGTGAACCTAGTCTTATAGTGCCTACAGTTTGCTTTAGCGCTTTCCAATATAATATATATCTAAAGTAGCATTAATAGAAGAGTGATTATTTCACATACATGGTGGTGATGCACATTCCAAAAAACTGTTATTTAATCCGAATCAGAAACAAGATTACAATGAGAAGAATAAAGGTTTTTTTTTCCCAAATACATGTGAGCATATTGCATTGCAAAGCTGAAATGGAGCCCCACAAGTGTGAAGGGGTGCTTTATCCCAGCTACATCCAGAGTAACATTGGGAACATTCCTGGACAAAATCATATCTAGGAGAAAGAAGGGATACAAGGCTATTGCAGAAAGATAGTGAGAGAGAAGGATGGAGGAAAGTTGGAAGTCGCCCACTTGTAGGTGGATGCTGCTGGTGTGAGTAGAGATCGGTCCCTCTTCTCTGCTGCAGCTCGAGACGAGGAGGAAGTGCGGGAACAACTGATGCTCCTTCTACAGTCCACAGAGCAGGCGGCAGGAGTTACTATGAGGTGCTCCACAGAGGGCACATGGCAGTGGTGACAGCTACGGACACAGTGCTGGCTGATGGCTTCCGAAGTCAGCATGCACCGCAGAAAAAAGGGGACAGGGCTAAAAATTAAGCGCCTGAATCCCCGTCTATACCGATGCATCTATCTGTGGTTTGTCTGCATGGCCAGTGCTACAATTTCTCCGCCCCGGCGCCCTTAGGCGGCTACTTGTGCTGCCTTACTTTAACGCCGGCCCTTGTGCCAGGAAATTGCATCACTGGAGGAGAGTATTAACCCCTTCGTGACGGGAGACGTACAGTGTACGTCCCGTCACAAAGTGGCTATATGACTGGCCACGTACACTGTACGTGCCGAGTTATATTAGCCTCTGTAATGCTGGTAACTGCTGATTCTCAGCAGTTCCAGTCATTAATTAATGCCTCACTATTGAGACATTCATTAATGAAATAGTTAAGCTTTTTTAAAAGCTTCTTTCTTTCATTAATGAAAGAATGAAGCCTTTACATTCAGATACGGGTTCGCTAAATAGCGATCCCGTATCTGACAGCTGAAGATAGCACAGAGGTAGCAGTGACTCACCTCTCTGCTATTCGTTTTGACAGCTGGAGAGCCTGGCCCGATGTTAAATGATACATTTCCAGCACTAGATACAAAATGTATCTCTTGAGTGAAATGTATCAGTTTTGATCGTCTAGGAACGATCAAAGACCTTTAGTGAGATCTGATTCTGACATGCTGTCAGGATCAGTCTCTAAAGTTATTATTAGCTGTTCCTAAGCTTGGAGCAGCCTGATAATAACTAAAAATTGTAAAAAGTTAATTTATTAAGCAGTCATAGTGATTGCTTGATATAAACTGACAAAAAAAAAAAATCTTTTTTTTTTACACTTATTTTTTTTACAAAACTTGCTGCTGTGGAAGAATCACACAGCAAAAATGTAAAAAGTGTGTCAGTCATTTAGGAACAGAAACTAAAAACTAGCTCAGTCATGAAGGGGTTAAAGGCATTCGTTCACCTTTAAAGTCCATTACAAAATACAAGTATGTCTAGGATTACCCTCTCCACAGAGGGACAATGTTGCTGTGTGATTTTGCAGCAAAATAAACAGTGTTGTCACTCTATTACAGGAATATCCATTTTAATGTTTACAGCGAGATGAGACAGCCAAGCTTCACTTTCAAGAAGGAAAACTCAATGCTTGAAAACAATGCGCCATCTCTCACCATGAAATCTCTGGCTTTGTTGATCCCCAGTGGTTTTCCAGTGCGGACTGCCTTTCTTGGGCTTTGTTATGTTTTCTTTGCAATAGTTATGAGCCCTATTTATTGTGGCTTTACAGTACAATTGCATGTTGGCTCTATTTCTCCTAGTGTCTTTATTCCTTTGTCATATTTTTACTTTAGGTTTTAGTTCCTCATTCTGTCACCATCACTTTACAGACCTTCTAATGTTACAATACATTGTATTTCAGGGTTATGATACTGAATACACACATTATATATTATATACACACACAGTCATGGCCAAAAATATTGGCACCCCTGCATTTCTGTCAGATAATGTACCACTTTACAAAGAAAATTGTTGCAATTACAACTTTTTAGGCATTCTCATGTTTATTTCTTTTGTTTGTATTGGTATGACACAAAAAAAGTTGAGGCAAGAAAAACAAATCTGACACATTCCATGCAAAACTTGACTGGACAAAATTATTGGCACTTTCAATTAATATTTAGTAGCACAGCCCTTGGAAAAAATAACTTAAAGTGACATTAAACCCTCAGATTTTTTAAACATAAACCAATACTGTAATGTGTGCCTTACTGTAATCCATGGTTGTTTCCCTTCTACAGGGGTGCTAATATTTTTGGCCATGACTATTTTTGGTCCAGTACAATCTGCACAAAACAGTGCATGCAGCATTTTTGCAGATCGCACTGGACCGGAAAACGCAGGCACTAATGTGTTACGCATTCCGGTGCCGTGATCGCACTGCAGACGGGGGGGGCGAGGCTTCAGTACCATTGAGTTCAATGGACCACCACGCCCCCTCCTGCCCCAAAACAAAGTGAGCCGCCGGGTTGCGTTCCAACTACCACTGCTCTATAGGATTCAGATCTGGACTGATTGCTGGCCACTCCAGTACGTTCCAGCGCTTTGTCCGAAACCATTTCTGGCTGCTTTTTGACGTGTGCTTTGGGTCATTGTCCTGCTGTAAGACCCATGACCTCTGACGGAGACCCAACTTTCTGACACTGTGCCCTACATTGCACCCCAGAATTCTTTGGTAGTCTTCAGCTTTCATAATGCCATGCACTCAGTGAAGACATCCAGTGTCTGAAGCAGCAAAGCAACCCCAAAACATCAGTGAACCTCCACCATGTTTGACTGTAGGGACTGTATGTTTTTCTTTAAAGGCCTCATTTCTTTTTCTGAAAACAGTAGAATGATGGGCTTTACTAAAAAGCTGTCATTTTGTTTCGTCTGTCCACAGCACATTCTCCCAAAAGGATTTTGGCTTCCTCAGGAAAGTTTTGGCAAACTCCAATC